TATTGCGTCCATTTCCAAGCACCCAAGTTAGACCCAGAAGCACCACTTTCCGCATTCCCTACTACACCTCGCCAAATTGCAGAGCAGTTCTGTAGTCTCTTATCCCAACTCAGTCCTTGCAACCCTGTGCCTTTATATTTGCTTCTCATCACTCGAGCCCAGAGGCTCTCCGTGTCATGCGTAAGTCACCAACTCAGTTTAGCTAGTACTGTTTTATTCATATCATGTGCTTGTCGGATCCCCAAACCTCCTTCCCTTCTCGGTCGACATACCCGTTTCCACGATATAAGATGTTGTGACTTCTGCTCAGCTGTATCATTCCATAAAAACGATCTCGACACCCGATTTAAACGCACCAAAGTTGATTTCGGGAGAGGTACAAAGCTCATTGTATAAACTGGTATTACGCCCATTGACAATTTCCTCCATTTATTTCAAAGAAATTCTGAATTGAAAATAAAATAAAATTATATCAACCTTGCCAAAGATAAAAGTTTCTTTATTACCATTATCTTACAAATATTTAAGAGATTATGATCTACATATCTATTTTTATACACTTAGTAGACATATAATATGGATATCAATTTCTGACATTTTGCGATCTAATGTACTTTTAGATTGATGATAATCTTTTAAAAAATATTAAAGCAATTAATATTAATATGATAAACTAATGGGATTTAGGAATATGTTATCATCACTAGAATTCTGCTCTTTATTTACTCTTAAATTATATTTATATTAGAATAAAGGTAGTGTACGCAATCAATCTTTCTCCACAAAACTTGCACATAATTCATCATCGTCTTCACACTAATTTTATCAAAACTTTTCATGTACCACACTAGCACTTGCAACCCTGTGCCTTTATATTTGCTTCTCATCACTCGAGCCCAGAGGCTCTCCGTGTCATGCGTAAGTCACCAACTCAGTTTAGCTAGTACTGTTTTATTCATATCATGTGCTTGTCGGATCCCCAAACCTCCTTCCCTTCTCGGTCGACATACCCGTTTCCACGATATAAGATGTTGTGACTTCTGCTCAGCTGTATCATTCCATAAAAACGATCTCGACACCCGATTTAAACGCACCAAAGTTGATTTCGGGAGAGGTACAAAGCTCATTGTATAAACTGGTATTACGCCCATTGACAATTTCCTCCATTTATTTCAAAGAAATTCTGAATTGAAAATAAAATAAAATTATATCAACCTTGCCAAAGATAAAAGTTTCTTTATTACCATTATCTTACAAATATTTAAGAGATTATGATCTACATATCTATTTTTATACACTTAGTAGACATATAATATGGATATCAATTTCTGACATTTTGCGATCTAATGTACTTTTAGATTGATGATAATCTTTTAAAAAATATTAAAGCAATTAATATTAATATGATAAACTAATGGGATTTAGGAATATGTTATCATCACTAGAATTCTGCTCTTTATTTACTCTTAAATTATATTTATATTAGAATAAAGGTAGTGTACGCAATCAATCTTTCTCCACAAAACTTGCACATAATTCATCATCGTCTTCACACTAATTTTATCAAAACTTTTCATGTACCACACTAGCACTTGTCCCTTGGCCAACAACATTTTCTGTGTACAGATTTTTAATTACCCCCCCCCCCCCCCCCCCCCCCCCCCCATGTGCTATTGCAGGCAAGCCCATCCTTCGGACACTATTTTACTCAACCTTTCTATTTGTTTATCATATGTAGGTAGAGTTGAATGGATGTAAAAGTCCCATATCAACATTCATAGTTGAACCATTTGTCCCGGGCAATGAAGAATACTATCTTATTGTTGAATTAAATCAGCATGGGTACAGCATAAGCTTTTCAAAGCGTGGATTCACTAAGACCAAGGAGAAGGTATTTTTATTAAAATGGTTTCTAAATTTTGTTCTTCGATTGTGTATTTCAGTTTCTTCCATCTTCAAGATTCCAGAAACTTTATTCTCTATAGACATAGAAAAAACAATAGTGGGTTTGACTGGTTGTTGCTGTAGATATTATGCACAATAATATTTATATTTAAAGCTCTAAATCATATTAATTATATTTTATAATTTTTTTTATTTCCCCACCCCTAAATATTTTATTTTTTATTTTTAATTTTTTTTTGCTATATAAAGCATTTTTTTCTAAAGCACATAAATATATGCTTTCGAAATTTTACGATTCGACAACCAAAATTTTAAAGAAATAAAATCTACAACTACAACAAAAAACCTACATCCATATATCTACAACAAAAAATATAAAGCTACAACTGTTATCAATCAAGCATAATGTTATCAACTGGTGCTTCTTTTTACTTCTTCGTCTTTCCCTGTCTTCAAAAATGAGTTAATTTGGTTAAAGAATATATAGCCACAATGTTTTGAGAAATAGGCAAATAACAAACGTTTATCCCCATTGGATAATAATAACATCAAAGAAAAAAATTTGTTGATGTATTATCATTATCATTGTCTTTTTTTTGTTTTTGTTTTCTATATTGTTTTATTTTGTTGAATAAAACAATATTAAAATCAATCTTAAATATTTTTGCATAAATCATTCTTCATCAAACCTCCACAATCGACTAGGATTCAAACATTCAACTCCTCTCAACTTTCAACACTTCTCTGATACCTGTATTTCTTTTCTGTTATGTATTGCAGATCACTATCTCATACATATGGAAAGAAAGAAACTGCAGAAGATATGCAACCCCCCATCTCAACCTCACAGACTCATCAAGCTCATCAATAAAACGGTCCCAAACAGAACTAGCTATGAAGATGGCATAATCATTTGGTTTGCGACTAGGAGGTATTGCAAAATTCATATTGAACCGGTACGTTTAACTTCTAAAGTCCATACTCTTCAAAGAGTGTGCTTTTCTTTTCACGAATGAAGTAAAAAGAACTCTCGGTCTATTCAACACAAAACCTACTTCAAAAACATTCTGGTGATCGAAATAATCTTTATTATATAAAAATGACATCAAGTTATTAGAGAAGTGAAACAAGAGACCAAGTCATTCATCAAACAATAACAGTAAGAACCTTCATGACAGGTTTAAAGTCAGGAACTGTGAGTACATGATTAAACCACTCAACTTTCCCCCACATTTGACCATTTTTGCGCCTTTCAAGTGCAATCTCAGCACACCGAATCTTCTTCTCAGAAAAGGCAACATCATGCCTAAAATCTGCTTCCCACAAAACTGCCATCCTTCCACCATAATCAGCCAACCTAGCACAAGCACCATCATGGAACTTAGGTAGTCCTCTAAACCATTTAAGTTTTTCCACATGTTTATCTTGGCGTCAAACCATAGCAACTCTCTGCAATAAGAATCTGAATGCATACAATTACCCATCATAGTCAACTCATCTACGTTCTTTGCAACTGTAAGTAACTATTAGGGATAATATATCACATCGGAAATTGGAAGGGATCCTAACTAATATATAAAGAGTATGGGCCAATCCACTTACTGCCAATTGATTTTAGGTTGAAAGTCCATGTAACTTAACATGGTATCAGAGCCCGATCCAAATAATCCAACCCGATCCATAATCGATATGTGATCCAAAGATGGTCCGTCGATACTTGTCCAAATATTACCGAGATCAATGGCTAAAATAGCCATAGTCTCGAGGGGGCGTATTAGCGATAATACCCCACATCGTAAATTGGAAGGGATTCTAACTAATATATAAAGAGCATGAACCAATCCACTTACTGTCAATTGGTTTTAGGTTAGAAGTCCATGTAACTTAACAGTAACCACCTCTATTCCGTTCAGCATGTGGAACTTTCTGTCAATACTAGCACTTCTGAAGTCAGACATTCTGAATTTTGTCTCGCTGCAAGGAATGGACTCAGGATCCCAAGTGTGTTTTTTTTTGTGTCGAACACCTCAAACGTGTTCGTCTCGGAATTGAAATCACGATCTTTGTAGCTACTTCTTTCTGCTACGTATATCTTTCCATCAACGACGCTAGCAGAAGGTGACAATAGCTTCACCCGCAAACTTGGAGTATAGCGCCACGTGTGAGACGTGCAATCTAGAATCGAGACGCTAGAACATTCCTGTTCAATATTGTAGATATTAGAACCAACTGCCACAAGACCCGAAAACTTCGCAGGAGGATCTTAAAAGCAACAAGAGCATTTTTGTACTCAGCTTTGTTTCCATGGTATGTTAAAAAGCCCGCAGGCTTTATTTATTTTAAATATGTGCAATTCAAACGACGTCGAGCCATACAAAAAGCCGGTTAGCTGTACACTCTACCAATTCGGTGGTACTCAGACACTGAAGAAGAACCCTAAATCGTTTTCCTCAATCGTTTCTGGTTTTATTTTTGTTCGAATTCGTCATCTGCTTCCGTCTCCACCGTTTCTGGGTTAGTCAATATTTCTCTCTTTTGAACATTCCCCGAAGTCCGAGGTTTTTGTTTTTTGTTTTTTTCTTTGCGTTTCCTTCTTCTGTGTTTATATGACGATTTTCATTTTAGCAAATGATTTTCTAGTAAAGCTCCAACCTTCAAAATACATAACTTCTCATAATCTCGGTGTTTGAGACATATCTTATATCTTCCAATTTTCAATTTAGGGTGTGTTAATCCCCATGGTTTTATTTCATTGATGGCAAAGGCTTGATCATTTCCTTTCAATTTCCGTTGCTTCAATCTGTTTATGTTTGTCCTGGAGGGATTTGATAAGCTGCGTTGTTGTCCCTCTGTCAAATTTAGTGTTAAAAACTAATATAAATGATGATTCTTCGAAATAAAAGAAGTTCCTTTTACATGAATAAACAGAGCTTTCCTATAAGCAGAGACAACCTTGGTGTCTTACAATTGAACTTTTTTCCATGTTTAGCTTTCAAGTTTCCACCTGCTTTGCAATCAAAATCACTTTTTTGAGACTGTCTTAATGTTTTCAACTCATTGACATCTCTTAATTCAGTGTTTTGACTACATAATGGATGCAGATGGCTAGATGGGATCAGATTTTCTCCCTACCTGTGCAAAATCCAGCTTTGCCCGAGTTTTCTGCTACCGATCTTGTTTGGTCGAAGGTCGAAGGTTACAGAGACAACATAGATAGGTTAGCACTCATACCGTTTGCAAGGGTGGATGATTTCGTAAGAGGTGAATCCTCCAATAAAGATTGCCCTACGAGTTTCCATGTTGAAGCTAGACGACGCAAAGCCAAAGGCAAAAAATATAAGCCAAAGGTTGATGGCATCTTGGAGTATATCCTGTAAGTTCCACATTTGTTCTGTATTGCAATCACAACAAGTTACATCATTTACCTGGTTTAGTATCATCTGCTGCAAGTTTATAGGATTCTACTCTCAACTCATCATTACTCTGTTTAACCGATACTTTATACTTTTGTTTTCTGCAAACATGTATTGTATTGTGTTGTAATTGTATTGTTCATCTTTCCTCACAGAAGTGGCAGATAATTGTATTGTATTGTGTTCGTTTCAGGAATTTTCGTTGTTCTTCTTTATGTTCCACAATGTTTGTAGCTGCGTGGATAGTCTAAATACTATGATCCTAGATTATTCTCATTTTAGACCGTTATAAAAGATATAGTTGGTTATCTGTTTTGATTGTATTTCTCGTGCATTTTTTTATTGCAAGTCTATGTGGAACAAAAACTTTGGTTATGAATAGTGTTTTTGTGTGGATAGTCTTAATGCTATGATCCTACATTGTTCTCATTATACTAAATATAGTTGGTCATCTCTTTTGATTGTGGTTTAAAATTAGTGTTTTTGTGTGAGTAGGTATTGGTGTTCCTTTGGACCAGATGATAATAGGAAAGGAGGAGCTGTAAGGCCAAGTAGGACAACATATGTTCCGAAAAAGAACAATGCAGGCAGACCAAATTCAAAGAGAGGATGCAGGTGTCACTTCATCGTGAAGCGCTTAATCGCAGAGCCGACGGTGGCTTTAGTAATCTATAACAATGACAAGCATGAAGACGAAAAAGGGGTACCATGCCATGGTCCACAAGACAAAAAGGCGGCTGGAACAAGAGCCATGTTTGCTCCATATATATCAGAAGATCTTAGGTTAAGAGTACTATCTCTGCTCTATGTTGGTGTCTCTGTAGAGACCATAATGCAAAGGCATAGTGAATCAGTGGAGAAACAAGGCGGTCCAAGTAACCGAGATGATTTGTTAACACATAGATATGTTCGAAGACTCGAGAGGAGTATTCGACGGTCGACATATGAGCTCGATGAGGATGATGATGTCAGTATCGGAATGTGGGTTGAGAGTCATCAAAGTCATGTGTTTTTCTACGAGGGACTCTCTGAGACAGAACCTTTCTCATTGGGTATACAAACTGAGTGGCAGTTGCAACAGATGATTCGATTTGGCAACTGTAGACTCTTAGCTTCAGGTTCGAATTTTGGGACAAAGAAACTGAAGGTCAGTTTCTTATAGTTTGTGCATCAGTCGCCAAATTTTGGTTTTTAAAAATAATATTTTTCTTGATGATTCTCAGCTCTTTGTGTTGCGTTTGTTTTCAGTTTCCTACCCATAGTCTTGTTGTATTCGACTCCGAGAACAAGGCTATTCCAGTTGCTTGGATAATCGCACCGGGGTTTTCAAGTGGAGATGCGTATAGATGGATGAGAGCTCTTTGTAACCGAGTCCATGCCAAGGATCCCTCGTGGAAGGTGGCTGGATTCATTGTTGATGATCCTCTTGCTGACATCATAACTATCAGGTTAGTTGCTTCAAAGACCTCTTCTCCATTTTAAAACATATCTTGCATGTTCTTTTTACAAAGAAATTTGGGACTTTTCATTACACCAAAACGCTTAGCAAATATTGAATTAAGCAGAAATGAATCATAAGTCTTGAATTCTTGTTTGGACTATCTTGATGGTGAAGACTTGATATAGCTAAATTGTAGGGTTCTTCACCAAATACTGAGCCATATTGTTCTCTTTGTTAAGAAAGAAATCTTGTGTAAGTCTCTTTGTTGATAAAAAATTCTTGTATCTTGTCTTCAGGGATGTATTTCAGTGTCCGGTCTTGTTTTCGTTTTGGCGTGTTCGCCATTCATGGCATAAGAACATAATGAAGAGGTGTCCAGATACAGAGACGCGTGTCGAGATATCAAGACATCTAGGGCAGGCTGTAGATAAAATCTGTACAAGGCAAGGAACAGCCACATTGTTTGAAGGTTCTCTGGAGGATTTCGCGGATAGTTCAGAGTTTGTGGACTACTTCAGAGCCGTTTGGTCTCCAAGAATAGGTTACCTTTTTAAAATCTCTCTCTCTTTTTGTTTTCTGTTTACTCTCTACATTAGATGAATACAAAGGTTCCTGAGTCATAAGCATCAAGTTATCTATTAACAGGAGCTTGGACAAGTGCTTTACAAACTCTTCCGTTGGCAAGCCAAGAGACATGTGCAGCGATGGAGCTTTACCACTATCAGCTTAAGTGCAGGCTCTTGAATGAGAGAGACTCTGAAGCTTATCAACGCGCTGATTGGTTAGTCGATAAGTTAGGGACAAAAGTACATTCTTACTTCTGGCTTGATGAATACTCTGGAAAAGATAGTTTCTCTAGGTACTGGAAAGAAGAATGGGTGAGCGGTTTGACTTCTTTCCGAAAAGCGTTGAGTATACCGAACTCTGATGTTGTTATCTCCGGTATGTCGGCTAAAATAACAGATGAGTGTGACGGCAACAACGAGGAGGTTCATCATGTTGTGTGGAATCCATGTTCACAGTTTGGGATTTGTAGTTGCAGCTGGGCAGAAAAGGGTTACTTATGTAAGCACGTGATCAAGCTTACACAAGTCTGTGGTGAGAACAAATCTGCTAGGCTCTTACAGTATTATCAGACCTTGATTGATCTGCTTCAGTGCCCTCCTCGAGATTCATTGTTTCGTGATTACGCTGTTTCTTTAGCTGTCTCTGTGGAGAAGCAGATCAATGCACTCGGTGTGCAGAAAGAATTTGCTTCTAGTGGAAAACCTCTTAAGGTGTATACTCGGAGAAGGAGAAAGTCGAGCAAAAATGTTGAACATGAAGCTGCTGTAGAGGATGTTGCCTCTAGCTTGCAGAATGAGACAGACATAGCGAAGGAGAACCACGAAAGAGGTGCGAAAAGGCTGAGAATCTGCTGCACCCTAGCCGAAAAACCTAGCCAGATAGTTTCCAATATTTGACTGAGGATTCTAGTGGTTTAGAGAAAGCAACATCTGCTTGGTGGTCTCATGGAAACTTGATATTAATGGAGCATCTACGTCAGAGGCTCCTACAAAGAAGGAACTTGAAAGAAAATGTCGTGGTGACAATGCTGTGTATACCTACAAAGTGTGGTTGAGATTATCCAAAAGTACGTTTTGAGGTCTTAAAGCAACAAGAGCTTTTTCAAAAAATCAGGTGTGTCATGTACTCGGCTTGTTTCGATGGATTTTTTTGAGTTTGATGAGTGGATTATGAATGCCGTTAATGAGAGTTTCTCTGTCAACTTTTCTATGCCGGAGATGGGAACTATCGAAATGTATATTGGATTATTATGATTTTTAAGGAGTATTAACTGTTGTATTTTGCTACTAAATTCTCATAATTTTATGCAGTATTTGTATATAAAAAAAGGTGAAGTGTGTATATCAAAGAGTTGCATAGATAAGAAGTTACAAGTTCACTAGTCCTGTTCGTTTGTTAGACGCCTGAGACTGCGGCTGTGATCTTGCGTCTAGACGCTGCGATATCAGACATCAGACGCAGCAATTGTTGTTCGTTTGTTAGCAGCGCGTCTGGTCGCAGCATCTAGTAGCAGGTTTGTTCGTTTGTTGAACGTGCATCAACCACTTCTACTTTCACCACTTTTGCATCAGCCGTCTCTTTCTCCACATACACAGATTTCTGTTTCGTTTCTTTCACTTGCAAACTCAAACTCAAAGCATCCACCTTTGATTCCTCAAAGGATTCTTCAAACTTCAAAGGGTTCCATCTTCACATCATACGATGGATTTTGCTATCAAATCAATGATAATTTCTTCTTCTTGAGCATGCGATTCAGGCTCCTCCTCAGCCTTTAGCTTTACATTGAAATCAAAACATGAATCTCTTGAAACAGTTTTAACTACAGAAACAAAGAACTACTTCATCGACATCACAAAACCCATTTCATTAACAAAAGCATTCACTTGATTCATAACAGTTGATGAAAAGGAAAGATGTATTCAAAGTAACCCATTTCAATACCAATCCATCACGAACAAGAACTACCTCATCGACATCACAAAACCTATAAGCCACGATCTTAACAAAAAAAGCTGAAGAGAAACGAATTTGTTTCGGAGCTAACAAATTCACTGAAGAAGCTCAAATCTCAGGTACTTTCGCTATAGTTTTAGGTTCATCGGATTTCTGATATCTCTCAATTCTATTGGCGTTAATCTGGTGAAGTTATAGAAATCAAAATATTAATCGAAAACCCACAAATTGTAGAAATTAAATCTGAGACATAGCTATCGATGAAGGAGATTTATGGTGGTTTCAGCGAAGAAAAGAGAAGAACAGGACGGCAAGAGATTTTATTTGATGCAGGTTGGTTAGAGCATTTCCATGAGAAACTTCAAAACTTCAAATATGAAGTTTATTGCATTTCAAGAGAAATTTCAAAACTTCAAACGGTAAAGTTTTACTGTTCAAAACTTCAAATTTGAAGTTTCACTTTTTTATTTGCATTTCAGTCTCTCTAATTATATACTATATAAATGTTTATATTTTAGTTTTGTTGTTTATCATTTTAGCCCATATAATTTTAGTATTTTATATATATATATGTGTATATATATTTAATTTTTGTATACAGATTAAATAAAAATCTTAAAATAAATTCAAAAAAATATTACACATTATTATAAATATTTTTTTTATTACACAACAACAATTATATATAAAGCAAATTTAATACAAAATATAAAAAAATAAATTACATAAACACATAAATATTACACAAATTGAAATACTACAATAATACTAATATTCATGTAACTTTGAAATGCATTGATTAATCATATATGAAAGCTCTATAGATGTAGTTTTATTAGATAATTTGATATTTTATTTGTAATTTATAATTTAGTATGTGTGTATTATGTATTTTTATATTATTATGTAATGTTTTATTGATTAGTATTGGTTGTAATCTTTTTATATGTATGTTTTAGTTATTTATAAAAGTTTTATGATATTAATTAATTATTATCAATATTGAGGACTATAATGCAAAATATAAATAGTTTTGAATTTTTTTTGAAGTTTACCATTGGAGAGTAACACTTCCAAACTTTAAATTTGAAGTTTGGGAAATTTCAAATTTGAAGTGTCTCTTGGAGATACTCTTAACGCGACGCTGAATTTCTGTTACGACTAAAAAAATCAAACGCTAATCGCTGCGGCTAATCGCAGCATTTGATCGCAGGAAACTGCGACTAGTAAACGAACACAATTATAGGCAGTGCTTGGCTCGGATATCAGATCTTTATGTACCAATTTGATTTTAGGGTGCAAATGGTGGTAATAAGTAATAAGTAAGAGGAACAATGAACTCACAAAAAAAAAAGTAAGAGGAACAATGATCAAAGTTTTTTTTCTTCATTTTATTAACTATTTTTTTTTATTTCCTATTTCATTGTATAACAATATATATATAAGAAAAAAAACATTTTCCATTTAATTAATAAGAATCCAATATAATTCGGAGGAATGCTAATTTAGTTTGAATGGTAATTTTTTTAGAGAAATTAAAAAATATTCAATTCTATTCATGTTTTTGTTAACTAGGAGAATAATCGGCATGCAGGGACGTGAACAATTTTTAAAATATAATTATATAAATATAATACATAAATATAATATTTATAATCATTTTGAATGTTTTAATTCTTTGTAATGATAAAAATCAAACCCAGCTTTAAATTTTAATGTTTTAAGTTTTGTTTACAAAATATGCTTTAATTTTAATTAAACATTTTACGATAGCACAAACGCAATTATATTTTGAGACGGGATTGATAAAAATAATTATATTTGGAAAGGTATGCAAAATTTATTTTTTTTGGATTGGGCTTTGTGAAAATTAAAGTTTAACCTTAGAAATTTTTTTCCTTTTTCATTTTTAATTAACGTTGGAAATTTAAAAATCACTGTGTCATTTTTTTTTCAGTTTCTTCAGTGATTTAGTCACCAAACACTATTTTTGAGCGATTTTTCCATTGTTGGTCTTGATCTGTTCATATTTTTTTATTGATTTCTTCTCATGATAGCGGTCGATAAAAAATTAGAGTGCACCCACATCAAACATTTCCACTCCTACTTAGCTTCGAATCCTCCTCAGACACGTATAAAACTTTTGAATACATGTATAAAACTTTCAATTTCGCTTTCTTCCTCCAATTTTTAGAATGAATTTTCTGAATACTAAGAGAGTGATCGTCTTCTTTCCGAAGTAAACTTCTTCATATTCTTCTGTTATTGTGATCTGATGCTATGTGATGTTCTTGATTGTAAGTTTGGAGAATCGATAAGAGATAGTTTTCGGATTTAGAATATGAAGTTTCGATGATCATCATGTTCGTCAAAACTTAGTTACGAAACAAGTCTCATGAATGATTCAAATGTGTTAAACGAAATCAATAGACAAAATAGCATGAAACAAGCTGAAACTTTAAAAATCTAAGAACATAAATTGTTTTAAAAGACAATCTGAAACATTCTTGTACCTATCCTCAACGCAATAAAATTAATTTGTGAAAAGAGTATATTACAAACAAATTCTAAATCAGATATTTTTGCAACTTAAAATCATGAATTGAAATTGTAGAAACATAAAGTTATACATGCCTTCAATAAGATATATACGGTTTACAATTGCAAATCAGTAATTTAAACACTCAAAATGACACAAGATGATAATTATTTGAATTAAAAGAAACTAAACACAAAATCCTCTCCCATGTCATAAACCACATGTGTTAAAGAAATATCATGTCACAATTACATCATCATTTCCATATCACATTTAATTGTGATAGATAGAAGATTTTAACCAATCAAATTAAAACAAATCATAAGTTTTTATTAAACTACATTCTCAATTAATATGTAAAAGATTATTTGCACACATCTACGCAAATTGTTGGCAAATATAATTTTGATCGACTATGTACTTTTTTCTTTAACTAATTGCATAATATTTAACAGAGAATATATAATTCATATCAAAAGATATTTGAATATATGTTAATTGTTTTGATAATAGATAATACTTATAGAATATGGATTAATTAAGAATCTGTATATAAGTATCACCGGATATGGAAAACTCTTGAGAATCAAAATTGCAGCAACAATGGTGGTATTTTGAGCTGACACAGTGTTCACAAATCTCTCCTAATATGTATTCTTTATATCTACAAAATTTGGTGCATATAATTGATGTTAAGATTTTTAATCATTTGATCAATCTTCAAACACACATGTCATTGTAGTATTTGAGGGGTCAATCCACTTAGAAAGCTAATGACAATTGAGATATAGAGAACTTTGCTAAGCTAAGCTAATAGATAAGGAGATATTGTCTAACAGCCTAATGACAAACAAGGAAGCAAAAGAAAGCAAACAAAGAGCAATAATAGCAATGAGAAACAGAGCAAAAACAGAGTAAAAGCTAAACTTCAAAGATTAAAAGATGGTTCAAGATTAAGGCAATGGTGATAGGGTGATCCATGTTCATATCTAAGGTGATCAAAACAAGCAATTCTAAACACTCAACCTTAGGTAAGGAACACTAATAAAGACTAATTCAATCTCTTGGCACTAATCCCTTTGACTTATCACATTTCAAACCCATGGTTAGTGGTGTATCTATGACAAGCAAGCATTAAAAGCAAGTTCCATAAAACCACTTAGCATGCTAGACATCTAATCTCTTAGGCTAGGTTTACTAATCTCTTATACAGAGGGTCAAACATCAATTCACATTCTCATGCATAATCAACATTTAAAGGCAATTTCTCCACCAATGTGGTACTAGGCAGTAAGCACATTTAAGCAAGAAATAATAGATGCAAAGACTCATGATTATCTATACACCATTTTCAAGCATTGAACTTCATTCAAGCATTTCATCAAACACTTAGTGTGCAAGTGAAAACCTAAGATCAACTTCTCCAACAAGGAGGTACGAAGCATTAAACACAATCATATAAGAAAGGGAATGAGAAGATCTAATCCCTAATCACCCTAAACAATCACTAAAATTACCCCATCTGCCCTAATCTCAAACCTAAAAGTTACTACTCACTAATCATGAGTTTATCCACAAAACCCAAAGATGAGAAAGGGATAAACACGATTAGAGAGGCAAACTATTAAGACAAATGCAAACTTATATTGAAATCAAACAAAGATTCAAGCCACAAATGTGATTAAGAACAAAAGAGGAAAAAAAACTAATGGATAAAAAATGATCCCAGAAATTAGGGATTTTAGTATTTATATGGATCCTAGGAAAGGTTGCAAAGATGTAAATAAGTGGTCTTCGGATTAGGAGGATGTCAAGCTGATGAGGTCTACATGGATGCTTGACATCTTGATGTCAAGCTGGTGAGGTCGGCCTGGATGCTTGACATC